TGGTTTAGAAGCGGAGATATAGATAAACATAGGTTTTATTAGGCGGCCATTTTGAAATCCAAGATGGCCGCCATAATGACCTCGGATGAGGTGGTTCCTACCAAAAATTGAATGTTATGACCATAAGGAGCATGTAAAAAAAATTGGTGCTTTTGTCCGGAACGTCCACATCAATCTGCTAAGCTGCCGGACTAAGATGAGGGAATGAAACAAAATTGAAAACTTGCATGGCAACCTATTTACTGTGCTGTACTTTTAAAATGGATCTTTTTAAATAACATAAGAAGCTTACCACGTTAAAATTATATAGTGTCTCTGATGTATCCGTTCTAATGTTTTCTATACGTACGTGGTGGTGAATGGATGGATCAATAATAAACTTTCATTCGTTATGCCTGTTGTTAGCCTAACCTGTTAAGTTAAATTTTGTGTACATTTTGCCGAGTTTATTGAATTATTAAACAATGGCAACCAATGGGTTGATGTCCCGATTAAGGCAATTCGATGCTTATCCTAAAACATTAGAAGATTTCAGGGTTAAAACCTTCGGTGGAGCTGCAGGTAAGCCCACTCCATGATGCCTGAAAAGCTTTTCTAGGGCCCTTCCTAGGCTACTCGCTTACTAGCTAGGCCAGACCTATGCCAAAGGCCTTGGCCTTGGCCTAGAGAAATAGAAGAAATACACTCATTAGGGCCGGCCTACCTGTAATAATATTAATTGATTTTTAACAAGAATTTTGACAATTATCGCTAAAAAAGTTAGTTTTTATTAATGATTTATTTAGAAGAATCTATTCATGCTAGAAAGTACTGTTTTTAATTTGAAGCATTTTCACATCTCTGTAGTCTCGACTGTGTGGTGAATCTGTGAATTACAGTCAAGTCCATTTTTGGAACGATCAGCTCCACTTTAAACTGAAAAATATGGGCCAAGGAGTCTGGAAATGGGTCCGACCGTCCTGGGCCCAATCGTCTCATATGGGACTGATCGTCAGACTGTGGGCAAACAAAATCATTTCTGCCCATGACTGCCATTTGTATTTGTTGATCATTTGATGTTTGATATACCGAAATAAATAAATAAAATAAATGAGTATATGATCATTTTAAAATATAATTCTTAATAATATAATAATATCTGTATGTTAAATGTATTTAGAATGCAATAATGAATCATAATGAAAGTGGCCCTGATAGTCCACACAAGGTGGACCTAATTGTCTGGTGTAGGTCTGATCGTCCACACTAGTTGGGCTCGATAGTCTGTCACCTGAATCTGTTTTGTTAGGTTTGGTGTTTAGTAGACCCTATTAAGCAGTTAGTAGAGTTCCGCATAGTACACTATAGGAAAATTATTATACGAAGTTTAGATTGAATGCTTGAAAAAACTTCCTGGGTTCATTGATTCAATGACTTCCTTAATTGTTCATAATTAATATTGAATTTGCAGTAACTTTCTTCGGGTTGTAATTAAGTTTGTTTTACGAAAGTGATTTAAAATTACAATTCAATATGCGCGGTGATGAAATGAACCCAAAAAGAAATCAAGCCAAGCGTCCACTATTGAAAAATTATTGGTCTGTGGGGGATAGGCAAATAACAATTTGGGAGTTGCAGTGATGACATCACGAATGACTTATAATATATTATAATAGGCATACACAAGCTTCTTGGACAAATTGTTATTCTTTGAATGATATGATTGATTGTCAATACCATTTTTTATTAATTTATTTCCATAGTGACACTGCTCAGTGGTTTCCTGATGTTTATACTCTTCATTTCTGAACTCAACTTTTATCTTTCAAAAGAGGTATGTTTTGATATTATGCATACAGTATAAAATTCAATTCAATTCAATCTTTATTGTCAAATTCCGGTTGTTTGTTCACAGTTCAAAATAAAAATATTCTTAATATTGAATAATTTATTAATTTATATTAATTCCATTAAAACATGTGCATTACAATAGAATAGACAAGAACACAATCACATACTAAAGCACACAACACAATTAATTAATTAATTAATTAATTTTAATTACTGTGTGCACAATATTGTGGTATTGGATATTTAAGAATGCACAGTTCAACACATTTTAATATCAAAGTTGCCAAGTGTATGATAATATTCTTACTCTCTCTATTCCTTTCTAATTATTATAATCCTCACCTCATTTTGTCCATAAAAGATTTACCTAGATAGAGCTACTCTCATTTTAATACACTTTGTAGTATTTGTATGCAAGTTGATTTTATGTTGCATCTGTAAGCATAATCCAGGAATTAGATAATTACTGTATAACTATTGAGTGATTGTTTGATGTGCCTTATTCGTTTTCTTTTTTTTTTTTTTAAACTTTTAATGATTCTATAATTATTTTCAATGTATAATTCAACTACTATACCTTTATTGATAGTTGTAATAAAATGATTAAGTTGATTGTATCTGGGAAAAAAAGTATGTGGATATTGGTAATACCATAATGTGTTCTGAGAAACTTACATTGTCTTTCTTTACAGGTTATACCAGAGTTGTATGTTGATGCAAGTCGTGGAGAGAAGTTAAGAATTAACATGGATTTAATTTTTCCCAAAATGCCATGTGCCTGTAAGTATTATAGTAAATGATCAGTTTATACTCTAAGTGCCAAAGACAAATCTGGCCAATTCCACTTCTCACAAAGCTTTCTATGCCGCTGCACCACATACATATGGAATGAACTATCCCATGAAGTTCGTCATTCTCCAACCCAGTGGTGGCGCCAGAGGGGGGCAGGGAGGGGCTACTATAGCCCCCTGTTGGGGAAAGCATTGCCTCGACTTTGACAGCGTGGTTGACAGATTTCATGCAAAATTTCCAAAATGTAGAATTACTTTCCAGAATGAGAATTTGAAAATAAATTAGATGGTTACATTGCATACTCTTTGTTTCTTGTTTTATTCAAAAACGTTTTGGTCTTGGAAGCTGATTTCAACATTAAAAAACATAGCCTACATGAAATCATATTATAGTAGCTCGATGCCTATCAAATAAGTAATAAAATTCGCCATAATTCGTCAAATATCTGTGGCTTCCAGGGGGCAAAGCCCTGGATCTGGACCCCCACCGGATTTGCTCCACTAGGCCACCCCCCCCCCCCCTAGGCCCCCCCCCCCCCCCGTCGGGGCCTCTAGCCCCTCCGTCGGGCAGGTCCTGGCGCCATCACTGCTCCAACCTTGAAACAGTTCAAAACTGCTCTTAAATCTCAAATTTTTCATTTATCTTTCCTCTAATTGTGCTGTGAGACCATCTGTGTAAGAGAACTTAATAAATATTCAAATTATTAATTATTATTAATTCTGTTGTGTTGAAATTTGAAATAGAGTGTATAGCCAGTACTGGTAATTGAATGTGATTTTATTTTCTATGACGAATTGGTTATACAGAGTAAGTTCATTAAAAGTGTCCATCCCTCATCACTTCCCAGATAATTAGTGTGATAATATATTTTTTATTGGGCATACAAAAAAAATTTTAATCTGCTTTCATTTGTATCATTTATTTTATCATATTGCAACATTAAATACAAGAACATATAAATTGATATTAAATGTAGATATAAAATTGGCAATTTATAATAGTAGGGTTCCTTAGTGTTTTCAGCTGAGTGAACAATGCATTGGTAAATGCGATTGAGAGCAATTAGCTCAGTCAGCCAAAATGGCGATAACTACTAAAAAAAAAACGCATTGTTCCGACTTATGGGGTTATTACTGGCATGATTCCACCATTACTCCATACCTCCCTACATCCATGAATTTTCTGTTCATCTTTTCTTCCAACCTTGGTAACTCAAGATCTAAGCACGGATGCAATGGATATATCAGGAGAACAGCAACTTGATGTAGAGCATAATTTGTATAAAATACGCCTGGATAGCAAGGGCAAGAAAATCTCGGAAACTGCAGAGAAGCATGATCTTGGTGATGGAGCGGCTGAACAAGAAGATGAAGAAAAAGTTTGTAGATTTTTTAATGCAAGCTTTTCATTCAATCAATCTCAACCTGATTATAGTGTATTAAATTTAATTGATTTGGAAAAAGGACAAACAATAAAGTTTGCAGTATTTAAAACCAGATATTATTTGTGAAAATATCTTTTTATAAAATATCTGCTAAGCAAGGATTTTCATGGATCACACTGATGCAATACATGTTTTATACTATATATTTTTTTCCCATCAACAGCCCACTTGATCTCTTTCCTAAATATATCTCCTTATCCTCCCTCCATTCTTTTGACCTTAATTTGCTCATTGTTCCTAAAGTTAACACCAAATCCTACAGCCACAGATCATTTTTATTTTCAGCTACCACTCTTTGGAACTTCCTGACTGAACATATTGCCAACTTGCCTTCAGTTGCTATTTAGAAGACACACTTTTTTAACATCTATACATGCACAGCATCTGTGATTTTTACTACGGTTTAGTAATATTTGTGCTTTATAAATTATTATTTATTATTGATATTATTTTCAGAAGGAAAATCTTGAGAAGGAAAAACTGGACCCTAAGAGATGTGAAAGTTGTTATGGTGCAGAGACTAAGGATTTAAAGTAAGACTGTAGTGCTGAATTACTGTAGTATGTTTATTTTTTAACTCATAGTCCACCAGCATCTCCACCACATAGGAATGGTTTAGTATTATGTACTATTCCAGTGGGAATTTTACTGTAATTTCCACCAATAACTTCCAAGCAGGAGTGTGTAGTGGAAGTTTCAGTGGTGCATCCGTGATAGAAAATTTAAACTAGTTGATGTAGGCCTTGTTTGTCAGTTCACAGAAACTTTAAATTAATTTCTTTATGAGGACGCCAGTGGCGGATCCAGAAATTTGGAATAGAGGGGGCCCAGGAAGAGCACCTCAGCTCCCACCATGGTTGGGGCTGAGGTAATGATTATGGCACCTCCAGATGCAGACTTAAATTTGAGTATAATTTTTTCCCCATTTTTTTTATACTTTTGATAAATTTAGAGGCTGGGGCCCTCAGGCCAGCTGGGTGTCCCCTTGAATCCACCAATGGACTCAATTGCTAGCAAATAACTTGGATTGCTGGTTGCTTTTCTGTATTCTTTGTGGGTTATTGTTAAGAATATTTTAAGTCCTAGTCAGTTTTGTTTTTTTTAGTCAGTTCTTAATTTTATTGCAAGCATGTTGAGCATTTGTTAAAATGGATATGAGAGTGCTATATAAATGTACATTATGAGATACTACTATAATTCATAATAAATCAGAATAATGATGAAAATATATCATATTCTTGTGAAACAATAGGATTTGCTGAAAAATAAGGATGAAAAATCTGGTTCTGGTAAAATACTGCATAAACTCCACAACAGGGATGTACATACGCAGGTGCATGGTGACTGAGCCTTACATGAAATGGGCCCCCCTAATAATATTGTAACAAATGAAGACATTAAAAGAGTTTTTAAGAGTAATTAAAAGATGCAACAAATTATGTTTAATAAAATTGTTATGTAGGTGTTGCAATAGCTGTGATGATGTGCGTGAGGCCTATAGACGGAAAGGCTGGGCCTTCAACAACCCAAAGGGAATTGTTCAATGTGAAAGGGAAGGCTGGTCAGATAAGATGGTAGCTCAGAAGGATGAAGGCTGTAATGTATTTGGATATTTAGAAGTTAACAAGGCAAGTAAACCTCTTTTTAAAGGGATAACTAATCACAAGATGGAGAGTTAAGTATATTTAAATTTCAAAAGGCATGGGATGATAATTGAAAGTTAACCATTGGAATTTACAGCATGTGATATGGTATTACATAGTGTCCTATAATATCTTTGTCTGTTTTCTTTTCGAACTAAATAAAGTTTTACGTTACTCCCTAGGTTGCTGGTAATTTTCACTTTGCACCTGGTAAGAGCTTTCAACAACACCATGTGCATGTTCATGACCTGCAGCCATTTTCAGGAAGCAAGGTACTCTTTTTAGTTATGTTTGTTTTTATTGGAGCATTTGAAACTATGCTCATTAAACATACTATAGGCTCCATTTTCAAGGTATTGGATTAAGCATATAAATATTCATATGAAACAGTAGTTCTTCCAATCTTCAGTCATATGTTACCAATGTATATTTAAACAGCTGTCTGTGGCACAAGCAAGAGGCCTTCTCATCAATTATTTTGGCACGATTTAAATCCAACAATTATTGGTTTTCTTTTGCAGTTCAACACAACACATTATATACAAAGTTTATCCTTTGGTATGGAATATCCTGGAATGGAAAATCCATTGGATGGATTAAAAGTTACAGATGTTAAAGGTATTTATATTTCAAATTTAAAGTTTTAATTTACATTTTCTATGCTTATGAAGTGAGTTTAAGTTGATAAAAAACATCCTGGTATTTGCTGGATTTTAACATAGGACTCTGGGATTAAAAGGGAGATAAACCACCAAAGTTGTTCATCTGCCAACCCAGCTAGCTAAGTATCACTATGGGACAACATAACACTTTCCTGTTTTGCTGTTTATATAGCATGCCTTGTCGATGTACAAACTGCCCAAGAAGTCATGTAGCCTATATTGTAATTAAACTTGCATAGATTGAGAGCTACCCTGGGCCCCAGAGGACGCCTGGACCCAGTGAATGTACTTGCCCTGGCTGCCCTCCCTTTTTTGACGAAGCTGATTTAAATTCAAATTGGTTGTTGTCGTTATCCTTTTTAATAAGCATGCCTATGTTATGAAAGAATGATTACACAAATGTGATCATTGTGGTGGAAATCAAGACTGAATGTAAAAATGTATGCACTGTAGTAAAAGTCTTTTCTTTTAGAGTTCTAGTAGTGTATAAATTGTGTATCTTGCTTGAAATTGTATGATCACTACTACGCTGTATCTTGGACAAAAACATGTGTCAAAGACAATTGAAAGAATCAATATATTTCCAAAGTATTTAAGTTGAACGTGCTGTAAGTCAAATTCAAAATGGGATTGAAAAGTAGTTTGACTTGAATAAAATTTGACTTACAGATCATTAATTAATGGAAAACACCAACAATTTTGCATGTAAATAAGATAACTTGTAATACTACGTTGCCTGTTGGAATGATTCTATTCTATCAGGTCATTTAGTTTTACTTCATTAGACTAAATTACAGTGTTCATCAACACAATACATGGTTTTTTGTAAGTACGTTTTATTACATTATATTTGTTTGTTTATTACATCATATAGGTCATTTCACTTAAACAGAAATTGTATAGCTTGTTCAATTTGTCTGGATATGTATTTAATAAGAATTGTGTCTGTGTGCCATTTTGTGTTCTTAGCTAAGCAGTCCAGACTTGTTCACGTGAACCAGGGGCGTCGATCGAGACAACACTACACTAGGGGATACGGGGGAATTCCCTGCGAAATTTTTGTTTTCTAGAAACTGAAAATAACCTAGGATCAACTTTTTTTCTTTTTCTTTCTGTCTTTTTTCTTTACTTTCCAAAAGGTGGGGGCACCTTGTGCACTGAGTGACTGACTTGCACAAACAAAATTAAATTTGTCACAAATTTTAGAGGCTATTTTTAACAAACAAAAAACTTGCAAGTACTGTACAACATTAGCGTTATTCACTGATTGTGATTATATTCTCATTAGAACCAGAAAAAAATTTATAAATTAAAAAAAATCTGTCACTAACAGTTATAATTAGTCAATGACCACTGAAGCTTTGACTAATTCAGATTATTATTCACAAATTTTTTTCCCCGTAAATTAATTAAGCCACCACTCCGTTCAATATATAAATTATGGATTTCCTCATGTTCTGTTATCACATTCATGAATAAACACACAAAAAGGCAACATAACTAATGTTCTTTGAAGCATCAACTTATTTACATATTTCTGGTCCTGTCAAGACCTGTATTCAGTTTAAACATTGCAACATGTAATGAGATTTGGTATAGTCCTAATTGTAAAGTCTGGCAGACACTGTGTTGGCTGATGCAAATCCATGGAGAGGGCAGCATGACGAGAAGTGTACACAGTGTTGCGTCATCAAGCCTTCACAGAAGGTGGCGGTGGATTTGTTGGCCAACATAGTGTGTCACCATCCTTTCCAACGCTTCAAGACAATACTCTTTTTGATCTGCAGTGTTCACTACATAGAAGTAATAGAATGCAGTAAGGTAATTCAAAATATAAGTCTTTTGCTTTGTGTTTGGCTAGCATCTTATTCCTGTACCAATTGACATGAACAGGCCAAATGTTCCTCCACCTTGCACCATGGTTTTTCCTACTTGTGAAAGTAATTCTCGTCCTCTTAATCCATACCTGTAATGTTCAAAGTAGTTTAATAAGTTGTTGTACAGTCATTTGGTTCCAGGATACATTTTTATTAAAACCAATTTTTGCATCATTAGGAAAATAGATAATCCATTTGTTGTTTACACACTATATTTTTATGTACATGCGCTATATCAGAATGAACAATTATTACAAAAAAATAGTGGGCAATATTGGTCTAACATCAAGGCAGTCATTTTACAATTATTTATTATTATTTATTATTATTATTATTATTATTATTATTATTTATTAAAATATCTACAGTTGAACTTGTCTAAGTGAAATCCAAAGTGCCATTGAAAAATTGTTCGACTTGCAGAATTTCCATTAATGGAAAACACAATTATTTGGCATTTAAAATAAGTTTATTTTTGGTAGGCAAAGTCAACTTCGACAAGTTTAACTGTACAAACAAAGGCAACATTCAGTTTGCTGGATTGGTGAGCAAACTGTTGATGTAACTTACGGTTATAATATTACTGGGTTAATAACTTAGCCATATAAAAATCATAATGTCAAGGAATGTGTACAGTCTGTATTAATAATGATAAATTAAAAATAAATGCTGGGTAACATTCATCTAACAATGAGGCAGTCATTGTACTCATAAGGTAATAATTTCTGTAATTTCATAATAACAATTTTATAAAACTGACCTTAATGCAGAGAATCCTCCAAAAATGGCTCCAGAGCCCATTCCTACTGCAAATCCCATCATGAAGCCCATCTTAACACGGTCAAAACAGCTTGGCCCGTGACCCATATGACCTGCAGGAACCGGCATATTTACTTGTTTTACTAATGATGGGATTCTCTAAAAGAAGTGAGAGAAAAAATAAGATATTTTATTTGCATTTGCAACGCACAATGTATAAGCATAAACACTAAAAGTGTTTGTATTTGTGCATTCCAGGTGTCAATTAAATTCACCACTGGCTTTTGGGTGACAAAGGGACAATTTATAAGAATTGCTTATGGAATCTGAACACAGCTATTAATATTATTGCTTATATATGGAATATCATGCTGCAATTTGTAAATATTGGCCATATTACATAAGGGATTTAGTCATAGAATATTTGGAATGTCAATATGATTCAAATTATGAAATAATCATTTTTAATAATAAAATGAAGGTCAAAGAATTTCAAAATCTTGGAATAACCAGCTAAATAAATGTCTAATTGAGCCTATTGGTGGTGGATTTGGTACTGTGTGGCATCACTGTTACAATGAAGCATCAGGGGTGGATCTCGAATCCACCCACTTCCTGAAATTTCCAACTGTTTTTTATGCCTACTAGGCCTAGTGTTACTACTACTAACTAGGTCCTTCTATCAAAATATCGAGATACATTACTGGCATAGGTATATATTATAATTTTAATTAAGTAAAACTTATAATATTACAAAGTACGAATTTCTGGGTTTTTTCCATTGTGAAAAATCTATAAAATTATATCGACATCGACTGTTTGAGTCTAAGGCTACGCAAGCACAGGCGGAAACAGTGAGTTCTATGGATGTACAGTGCTGTATTATGCAGTAATGCCTTGTCTTACAACCTAGCCTACGTCGTCGTTGCTCGACGGAACGCAGGACGGACGGAGAAGTGGTTTCGGTACTAGGTAGGCCTACGCCTAGCCTAGGCCCCATGCTTAAAGCCCTGCTAAAATGGAATGTATATGCTTTTGCATCTAATTAGCATAGAAGTAAAATACAATAGAAACAAATTTGTTTTTAACTTTTAGTCATAATTGCTACAACTAGGGCCTAGGCCTAGGTTGATTTTAAATGCAAGTTCACAACTCACCCACACGCGACAGGGAATATTATGCAAGAGTATGGAACGCCAGGAGATCGATCGTTTTTTTTGTTGACACATGCGTGCCGCGTTTGAGTATTGCCAGAATTGCGGTTTTTTGTTCATAGGTTGTAACTACAGCATCATTTGAGCGTTTCAGTCAGTTGTATGAGAGAAAGTGCCTGGGGGTGGGGGGGGGTTATATCTTTACCTATATCATGTAGGTCTCTGTGGTCTTGACAGTGAGAGGTTGCCGGTTTGAATCCCGTCAGACATTTTTTCATATAACTGAAATAAAGGAACTTGTTGATCAGGTATGCTTGATATGATTAATACAACTTGTTCCTATTTGAGTGCTGTTATTATTATTTATCTATTTATTTGTATTGCGTCTACATATATACACACCATTTTCGCCAAATTTGAAATGAAAATTTCCGATAACCCGGCAACCAGCACTTGGAGGACTTTCATTTCGCTCTACGTAGTTACCATCATGGATTAAACCAACGATGAAACTAAATTACTAACGATCACAAATATTTTAAAACGGAAAAACACGAAATGTTTATATTAAAAACAAGACTAAGATTTAAAAAGTTATTTCAATTTTTACATATTCAGTAATTACAGCAATTAGCAAGATCGTATCTGTTGTATACGCGTCTGTTTCAAAATAAATCCGATAAAATGGTCTATAGAGATTCGGCAGAATACACAAAAACGACCTGTATCTCTCATTTGAGACGCGATTCAGCGCTGCAATTCGTAGTGTGTGGAGATTGTTAACTAAATGTTTTCTAATAATTTTTTTCAGCCAAAAATTGTAATAATTATTATCAGGCCAAAATAGAAATTAAGAAAACTTTGATAACATGTTAAATGAGATTGACATGGTTTTGTGATTTATGATACTACGTCACGTTGTTCACTTATGCGGCTGCTGCACACGCTCTGATTTCCTCAGATAGGATGAACAATTAAAAGTCAGGGGCGGATTTAGGGAGGGGGCCGGCCCGGCCCCGGCCCCCCTTTCGGCCCCCCCTTTCGGACCCCCTTTTGGACATCTCTGGATCCGCCCCTGAATAGATTCCATAAAGTTTGCTACACGGTGATCCAGAAGCGCGGTTTCCATACAATCGCTCACCCTGCCGACGAGAGTGCGCTGTCTGATTAGAAAAAGTTTTCAGCTATATCGACAATGATGGTATCGTACAGAAAAGAAGTCAGATTTGGCAACCTATTCGGGAAAAAAACAAGAGAGCGCATGCAACACGTACCGTATACATCGATTCAAGAGCGGAAATGTGAAGCAAGCTTGGATAGCAATGACAAAGTTACAGGCCAGGGTAAAAAAAAACGAATCTAAATTTTTTGCAAATGAAATTAATATTTTTTTCTTTATTGGCGTTGCTCGACGGAACGCAGGACGGACGCAGAAGTGGCTTCGGAACTAGGCCTACGCCTAGCCTAGGCCCCATGCCTAAAAGCCCTGCTAAAATGGAATGTATATGCTTTTGCATCTAATTAGCATAGAAGTAAAATACAATAGAAACAAATTTGTTCTTAATTTTTAGTCATAATTGCTACAACTAGGGCCTAGGCCTAGGTTTATTTTAACTGCAAGTTCACAACTCACCCACACGCGATAGGGAATATTATGCAAGAGTATGGAACGCCAGGAGATCGATCGTTTTTTTTGTTGACACATGCGTGCCGCGTTTGAGTATTGCCAGAATTGCGGTTTTTGTTCATAGGTTGTAACTACAGCATCATTTGAGCGTTTCAGTCAGTTGTATGAGAGAAAGTGCCTGGGGGTGGGGGGTTATATCTTTACCTATATCATGTAGGTCTCTGTGGTCTTGACAGTGAGAGGTTGCCGGTTTGAATCCCGTCAGATATTTTTTCATATAACTGAAATAAAGGAACTTGTTGATCAGGTATGCTTGATATGATTAATACAACTTGTGCTTACAATTTGAGTGCTATTATTATTATTTATCTATTTATTTGTATTGCATCTACATATATACACACCATTTTCGCCAAAAAAACCCGGCAACCACCAATGGGGGACTTCCATTTCACTCTACATAGTTACTATCATGGAATAATTAAACGATAAATCTAAGTTACTAATGAGCACAAATATTTTAAAAACGAAAAAAGAACGAAATGTTTATATTAAAAACAAGTCTAAGTCTTAAAAAGGCTATTTCAATGTTTACATATACAGTACTTAGCGTGACCATATGTGTTGACTACTGCTGCTATAGCAAAGGTCAAGCGGCGCAATCCGCTGTGTGGTGGTGCTCTATTTTGTAACTAGCCAGCTGCTCAGGCTAGGCCACTTGAAGTCCCCCAGTGAGTTGTGAGACGTTGGTGGCGCTGTTTCAATATAATCCCAATAAAATGGTCTATATGGAAGAAATGTATACAGATATGCTAAATAGATATTTTAAATATTAATGGAAAAGATTATTTCATCAGTATATATAGTATGTCTACTTTTTTTTTTATTTGCAGGCTCTACAATGTACCAGTACTATGTTAAAGTTGTGCCTACAACATACACAAACGTAAACGGGCAAACGACAAGAACAAATCAATATTCTGTTACTAAACATGAAAAGCAAGTATCAACAAGTGTTGTCAGTAGTGAACAAGGGTTGCCAGGAGTGTTCCTTCTGTATGAACTATCACCCCTCATGGTCAAGTACACTGAAAAAAGTAGGTAAGTATTTGGAAAGCATGTGGAAAAGAATGCTGACATCAAGCAGTATTGTCTGACAAGTGGTTAGGAGGTGATTTTAACTACTTGAGCATTTGTTTTCGCTTAAAAACTTTCCAGTGGAGGTGACTAGAGGGATATGACTGTGCCCTACGTGCACTTGATGTCATCCAAGAAGCAAGGGCTCTGCAGGTAATCAATATCTCAAAATTACTGGTTTCAGTGGTGGATTGGGGAGGTGGGAGTAAGCATCTTGGCCGGGCTCCCTAAATTTTTCAAAATTATATTTAAAACAATGGGGAAAAAATGTAATTACAGTATAATCAAATTTATGTCTGAGAGTGCCATTTCTGGCAATCCAGATGTGCCATAATCATCAAATTTTTTTACCTCAGCCCAAACCATGGTGGGGCTGAGGTGTCTGGACCTTCTATCTGTGAAAATCCTCCCTGGCAAATTCCTGGATCCACCATTGGTAAATTCTGATATTTCCCTCTGACATACATTATTGGGGTAGACATATAGTGGGTGTTATTAGACTCTTTTAAGAAATGACAAATTCAGAATGTACTTATTTTGTTACAGTTATATTATTGATATATTGTTTTTTTTTTCAGGTCTTTCATGCATTTCCTTACAGGAGTATGTGCAATTATTGGAGGAATTTTCACTGGTAAATGATTTTTTAGATAAAACATGGTTATTTATATATTTAATTTAAAAAAAATATAATTACCAATATTAATGTGGGAACAATGATTTTACGCTTTCAAATTCAAAACAAAAACCAAGTCCGGAGGGAAAACCCCAAATATGTGTCTTAAATGAAAGATGATCTATAGTTATGACACAAACAGTTGTGAATATGAAATTTGTTGTCATTGATGTTAAAAGTCATAATAGTAATACATTATCATTTTTTACTAATGAAGATAATTATGATCTCTAATTGTTTTTATTTTCTACCTTTTAGTTGCAGGTTTGATTGATTCTATGATTTACCATTCAGCAAAAGCAATACAAAAGAAGATTGATCTTGGGAAAGCATTATAGTACATTGCCACTCACCACATGCCTCATAAATTTAACTGCTCATTTAAAAAATATTCAGCCTTAATTTATGATTATGATTTTTTTTTTCGTTTTCATTTACTATTTTCTTTCCACTCCAGGAATCATCTTTAAGTTTTTGATGGTTGGATGGGTGGGTTGGTTGGTTGGTTGGTGGCGGAGTGTCTATATTGAACATTAATTAACATGCTGTAAGGGCTAACTGTATTACACACTCAATAGCCACCATAATGACCTAGGATAAAATAACTTTTATTTATCCACAAAGGGAAACTCATTTGCTTGTCAAATTTTAAAGAAAATATATTTATGTATATATTCAGTATCATGGTTTTTACAAGGACCAGTTCCAGTACTACTACTTCCAATTATTCAATATACTCTTATTCCTGTAGAAGGCGGGAGAAAAGTAACTTTAATCTATCAGTGTACTAGAATTTTTTTGTAGTACAGTAAAGGCCTATTACATAATTTTAAGACTAATAGTTATTATAGTAACACTTTCTATACCGTATTTATTGGAATAAACGCCCCTCATTGAATACATGCCCCCCTCAAATTAATTCCCACTCCAGCCCCTCATTTTGAGTACCGTAAACACCTTGGGGCGTTCATTTTATCTCGTATAAACTCTCCAAGTGACTGTAAACAAAACTAGTGGAAGCAACATTGTTCTTAACACATTCTATTACTTTTCTACTTGGAGTAGAATTACATTTTTTCTATCCTGTTTGGTATAAATAATTCTTTATTATCACACAATAACATATTCTCAACTTTTGTTTAATAATGTGTTGAAGTTCCACATTTATATTGGGCGTATATTTGAGTATCAATTTTACACCAAAAAAATTAATACCTCTCAAATTTAGTCCCCCTCAAAAACCCTTCTCAACAATAAACACCAAATAAATATGATAATTATTTTTCTTTCACTTTTACATTGGCTGTACATGGATTAAAATTTTTGATCTAAAACGTTTGTAAATTAGTGAAAACAGAATTGCTTAGATATGCCTGATTGGCGATTGATAAATTTTTGATCTTTTTAAAAGAGAATCTCCTTTTATAAAGGATTTTGTAGGATTTTTTTAGATTTTATTTCAGATTATATGCCTATATCTTAAAGCTGATGGAGTAGGGATTATGTCTTATAAATATTTACGTCCAATGCTATATTCAATGCATTTATTACAGCATTGAAACAATTCAACAGCTTCAATTTTTAAGGGTGGATGATTTTTTTTTATTTGCCAGAAATTCTGAACCTGAGCTACATTTTAAGCTCATTTTTCTATTTAATAAGCCTTTTTCAATTAATAAATTATAGTTAATAGTTATGCGATATTGCTTCAAATTTATTATTTAATTTATAGTTATTTGTTTTTTGTTTGTTAATATAAATGCTGTACACCACGTAGCCGGAGTCCCAGGCCCTAAATTTGGGTTACTCACTTTTTATTGCGCATAGTGCGCGCCATACCACATTTAAATGTCGTCCTCTGAATTACTGGTGTAATGAGAATGAGAAAAAAAAATAAGGGACACTACGTAGAAAGTTATGAAACTACAATAATTTAAGTACATATTTTTCTGTTTTTCGTTTGTTAGTACAGTAGTTGTAAATTAAAAATGCTGTGATGTGTCACTGTTTTTGTGCAGAAATGTGAATACATAGGATTACTGTAGGCCTACTTTGTGGTAGTACACAAAAATAAAGTTTCTGTCTCACGTGCGATGATGACTCACGGAGAAGCTTACATATTATTGCTTAAAACCATTGGTTTTTATTTTATTAAAATCTATTTAATTTTTTTCAAAGCTGTAATATTTTCCATTAAATTATAATTGGTATGTATATTTTGGTCTTTTTTCAGCACAAAATCTAACAGAATTTCTATTTGGTTAGTTTAAATCTAGCCTTGTAAAGTACATTATGTTCATGAAATCAATAAAACCACCATATCCATTTTGTAACTTTTATTTTAGTGTATTATTGTGTATTTCAAATATCAATAGTAGGCCCCTAATGCGTTTCCCCACATAGGCCTATAAATAGAGTTATTAATTTAAGTTATTATTTTTCATATCATGCATAGCGTATTGTAAAGATTGAAGGTCTTAATAATCCAGTTGAAGTGTCATTGGTTATCAATAAGTGTAATAATCTTAATACATGATTCAACGATGGTAAACATGTATGGCGAAACACGGGGCAGCTTAAATTTTAAAGAGGTACAATAGGCCTATTTTTTAGTAAGTAGAAGGATTTTAAGGCTGTGTTTATGTTTATGTAGCTGGTAAAACGCATATTCGTTTACAAAGTATTAATGTTGTGTACCGAAGGCGCCCTTCAAACTTGACCTTAAAAATAGACAACTTTCAGTCATGTAATCAGTATATACTTTTAAAATAATACTATTTACGCACCGATCTAGAATACAAGATTTTTAAAGGATAACAATATGATGGTCTTTTGGGAACGTACTGAGTATTCGGTCAGGTTGTGTAAAAAATCATTCCTATGATATTTTCCTGACGCAAACACACATCGAAATAGCATATGGGGATCGGATTCAACATTTTCACTAAGCGCAAGCTCGGTGATCTGGTGGTTATGACACCACGCTAGTATCTAGAGATCATGAGTTCGATTCCCAATATTTTTGTAAGTATTTGGGAACGTATTGAGTATTCGGTCCATAACACGTCAGTTAGAGCAAAACATCACTCCTATTTTCCTGACGTAAACACACATCGCATATATATATATAAATATAAATATATATATAAGATGTGTATAAGAGA